TTCTTTTGTTTACGTAGCAGCATTTATGGACCAGGAAAGTAATAGAGAATAGTATATAATTTCAAATAAGTACCTGTCTTCACATTTCCATGTTAAAATCGTGAAACAGCTATATTATTTTTTAAAATATATTTTATTGATTTTTTTACGGAGAGGAAGGAAGAGAGATAGAGATCCGGAAACATTGATGAGAGAGAAACATCGATCAGCTGCCTCCTGCACACCCACCACTGGGGATGTGCCTGCAACCAAGGTACATGCCCCTGACCAGAATCGAACCTGGGACCCTTCAGTCCGCAGGCCGATGCTCTATCCACCGAGCCAAACCGGCTAGGGCAACAGCTATATTATTTTTGGGTGAGTGTCTGGTATGGCTGTGTCCCAGGTTGGCCCTCTGAAAGTTCAGCATGGTGGGTGAGGGGTTTCATTGCCTAATGAAAGCCAGGGCTCCTGGCTCACTTCACAGAATTCAAATGATGTCACCAGGTCCACTCTGTCTCCGTCTGCTTCCTGGGCCCCCACCTCCCCAGCCTGTGCTGACATGCTACTCACCCAGCAGTCTCAGCCAGGAAAGCATGTCCCCAGACAGGCCTGGGGCGCGTCTCAGCCAGTGCCCTTGGGTCACACGCCTGTCCCTGAACTGCGTGCTGTGTCTGAAGGGATGGCTAGGCCTGGGTCCTGCACTCACTCCAGCGAGGGAGGCTGGAGGGAGCCGCTCCCTCAAACACAAGTTGAGAGCGTGGAGACGTGGCTCTTACCAGAAGAGGGAATGGATGCTGTGCAGGCAAAAGCTTCCTCAGCCGTCCATTACTCCCTTGGCGGGGAGCCAAAGTGCATTCCGCTAAATTGTTTTTGGCCAGATCCCTGGAGCCAAACAAACATGCATCCATTTTATCACTTACCATATTATATGGAGACTAGAGGTCCGACGCATGAAATTCGTGCAAGGGTCTTAGCCCTTGCAGCCCTGGCTGCCTTGGCCCTTGCAGCCCTGGATTCATCCGGAAGGTCGTCCGGACGGTCGTTCTGCTGTTCAGTCTAATTAGCATATTAGCTCTTTATGATATAGGATGATCTCCTGAGCTGTCCCTCGTACTGGTTGGTTGGACAGGGAGTTTCTCAAAGACAGGGACCAGGTCTGATTCCTGCTTCTTCTCCAGCACTTGCCCTCAGCCGGGGCTTCCCAGGATGCCCTGGGCCCTGCTTGCAGTTCACGTGTTTCCTGCACAATCGCTTCCCTCCTGTGGCCTTTAAATCCACAGCTCCGGCACAGACCTTCCGCTGAGCCCAGGGCTGGCGATCCCAGTGCTTTTCTGGATGTTCTAACGTGGACATCGACAGGCAGCTCAAACACTATCTGTTGAAAGTTGAACTTGCCACCCTCAGCCCTAAACATTCTCCTCCACGGCTCCCCTTCTCAGCAACAGCACCACCAGTTACTCAGCTCACTACCTTCTCATCAGCCACAATCAGTCAATCCCCCAAGCGTTATTGATCCTGCCTCCCAGATACCTCTCAATCTCCCGTCCCTCCCCACCTCACTGCCCTACCTGCCCAGGCCTCAGCGCCCTGCACCAGCCTCCCTCAGCCTGTCCTGCCTCTGTAGCTGTGCCCCAGCTGAAAGACCTTCCATGCTTCCCATCACCTCACCTCACCTTCACCTTCACCTTCACCTTCAAACCCACTCCAGCAGCTCTGGTCCTGCAGGCTCTGGCCCCCGCTGCTCTGCCCAAGGAGAAAAACTGAAAAGGCGAAACCAAAGGTAGGATTTTCCAAGGAGCAAAGGTGAGGGAGGTATCTCTTTCCTTGGAGGTTTTAAAAAATAAAAGAAAACTGCCTGAGTGTGCTGGAAAATCAGGTGGTATGGCCTAGAGACAAGCGGGGGTTGGGGGGTGAAGGCAGCCCCTGGACTAGTCTTTTTTTTTTAACATTCAGTATTATTTTGTATTAGTTTCTGGGGTACAGCATAGTGGTTAGACAACCTTATACTTTACCAAATGATTCCTCCAATACTTTCCAGTACCTGCCTGGCACTATACATAGTTATTTCGGTATTATTGACGATATTCCCCATGCTGTACTTTACATCCCCATGACTACGTTGTATCTACCAATACGTTTTTCTTATGCTCTTCACCTTTTTTACCCCGCCCCCTAATAGCCCTCCGTCTAGCAACCATCGGCCTGTTCTCTGTATCTGTGAGTCTCTTTCTATTTTGTTTGTTTGTTTGTTTGTTTTGTTCTTTAGTTTCCACATATAAGTAAAATAATGTGGTATTTGTGTTTGTCTGACTTACCTAGTGCAGTACCCTTTAGATTCATCCATGCTATTGCAAATGGTAAGATTCTATTCCCTTTGATGGCCAAGTACTATTCCGTTGTATAGATGTGCCGCTGCTTTTGGGGGATCCGTCTTAATGGTTACAATCCAGGGGCTTGGCCCTGGGGAGAAGGGTGATACGGGGCCCTAACTGTGGGCTGCAGTTATCTCCATTGCCACCAGGTGGCAGGCCTGCCCATTTCTAACAGATGGGAACTCCGGCTGTTGGGAACTCAGATTGGCCGATGATTTTGTTTATTCATCATTTATTCATTCATGGTTTTTATTCCCCAAGCACTTTGGACTCCTAATATGCGCCAGCAGGCATTGTGCTGGGTGTGAGGAGGAAACAAAAGTGGCCCTTAGCACAACTCTCTACCCAGCTGCCAGTCATACGCCCAGGCCAGGGTCTGTAACCGCTGATCAATGTCTGTGGGGCAGGCCTGCTGCCTGGGCCTGTTCCCACTGCAGCACGTGGGATGGTGCCCCTTGTCCTCTGTTCTGGAGTGAGAGCCAGTTTGGATCTCCTCCCATCCGGTCTCAGGTTGCCCACAGCGGGTCACAAGTGTAGCTGCATAGTCGTCCCTGGGGCTGAGGTTTTCTCTATCTCTGTTGCTCCTCCAAACAGGCCCAACCTCAAACCACCAGCCCCCTAACCCCCACCCCCCTGCCACTTCTCCTTTCCGTTTATTCTGGCAACCTGTCTCAGAAATGATCACCCAGGGAGCAGAAAGTGGGCACCTGGTGCAGACCCAGGTCCCAGCTTGAGGTTGCTGTACCCCTCCTGCCTTCCTCAAGCCTCGCTCCTCCCCCTCCCCCTCCTCTGAGCTCCCAGGGCCAGTGTTCACCATTGGCTGATATAACCTCAGGAGGGCAGGTGTGCCGCCTTGCTCATCAAAGCCCCGGGACCTGCACGGTGGCTGGTAGGTTGTGGGTCTCAACAAACGTGGCTGAAGCTCTCAGAGGAGGTGAGGGAAAGCAGCTCTGCGAAGGCTTCGAGGTCTGAAGAGAGGGTGGCAAGGGGAAGCTGGGCGCTAAGGGCACACCTGAGAGTGTCCATTTGCCCAAGTAACTGCCTTGGGTTGAACCAGAGGACCCCGTGGACCCACCTCAACGAGGACCACAATCCGCTTCTTATGCACCAACTCCAGACCCAGCAGGGGGGCAGCACCGACTGGGGTCCCTCTTTAGAAGGGCCCGCTAGATGGTTTCCTTGGCCAGCAGCCATGGAGCCCTATCTCTGCCTTCCTTCCCTCTCCCCTCTCCTCCTGTCCCAGCTTCGCTGGCAACCAGGAACACCTTCCCTCAACCCAGGCCCGTGCCTTCTGACTCACAGTACAGCTGGCTGGGAAGCATCTGGCCATGACCATGGCCCTGGCAGCTGGCCCGCTGGCCCTGCAAGAGGAGCACCCCTCCCTCGGACCTTCCATGAAGTCCTCCATTAGGATATGGCCACTGAAGACTTCCTCATACCGGCCCCCATCTCTTCCAATAAGGGGGGTGGCAAAGCAACCCACCACCAGAGCTCTGTGCCAGGTGGAGTAGGAGTCCCATCTTATCAGCTCATCACATTCCAGACATTCCCCCCGAGTGGGGGAGGGGTGGCCAGAGAGGAGAGTGCTGCTCCACTCGGATATCCTGTGTCTCAATTTGCTGGTTTCTCCCTAGTTCAGACCCAGGCCACCGACTCAGTTCCCTCCATAGACCGCCCAGGATCTTGTACTTTGGACTCATGTCTAAATCCCTACTCTTTCCTTTCCTGGTCTGTTCTGTTCTTCTTTCCCCTCCATTTTCTCTTTGCTCTCTGAGCCCTCTCCTCTCTGTCACCCCTAGAATTTGTGGTAGGAAGTGGGGGGACCAGGCCAGGGTTCTCGGCCAGGACTTTCGTCTCTATTCTAGGCATCCAAGAACTCTGGGTTTGGTCTGCCCCCAGTTCGGCATCACCGTCCCGTGCATCGCGCACGAGTCCAGATTTGCCCTCTCTGGCCATGGGCTCCTCCCACCCCCTGGAGCCCTGAGGTCCTGGGGTCCAAGTCAATGACCTCTAAGGCCCTCACAGGCTGGTGGTCTGGGTCCTACCTGGAGAAAGTTTCCCAAAGCCTTCTTCCAAATGGCACAGGGTGAGAAGCGAGGGCCAGCTCCTCCACCTGCCTCCCACCTCCATGAGCCCTGAGCCCCCTTCCTCTCTGGCCGCAGGAGGGGCTGTCTGCCCACCTTCTTTACATAGAAACTGTGGGTCTTGGGCCCAGTACGTGGACAAAGCTGTCTTGTTCCTAAAACACATACGGGCACATTGCTTTGCCCTCTGGCCACCTCCCAAGTCCTGACCATAGAGAGGTGGCTGAAGAAGGGCTGGGCTCCAGGAAGCTTGAGTTCTAATTCTGGCTCAGCCACTAACTTGCTGTGTGACCTGAAGTTAGTCATTATCTTGATCTGAGTCTCAGGGCCCCTGAGAAATGGCAGGAATAGACTGCTGGCCTCAAGCCAAAGGGAGCTACCCACTGATTCCCTAGGCTAGACCGAGATCAGGAGCTGGACAGGGATCTCTCGATCACATCTGTCCAGCCCTACAATGAAAGCCCCAGACAGAGCACCAAGGCCAGAACAAAACATTAAGAGAATTGGAAAGGAAGAAATAAAACTGTCCATACTTAGATGACATAAAGGTACACAGAGAAAATCCAAAAAAGATATAAACGATTCGAACAAATGAGTGGCTTTCCGGTGCTGAGCTTGTCTGGGCAGGGTAGGGTGGGTGGCAGTTAGGTGAGGGGTGTCATGAGCATCTGTGTTTCCAACCATGAGCGAGCTGTCAGCACACAGGTGACTTGGTGTGGCTATGTCAGCTGTGTCAATGTGGTATGCCATCTCTTACCAACCTGGCTACTGGAATCCCCAGTAATAAAATGAAATACTCGCCCTGACCGGTTTGGCTCAGTCGATAGAATGTCGGCCCGTGGACTAAAGGGTCCCGGGTTCGATTCTGGTCAAGGGCATGTACCTTGGTTGTGGGCTCTATCCTCGGTAGGGGGTGTGCAGGAGGCAGCTAATCGGTGTTTCCAACTCTCTATCCCTCTCCTTTCCTCTCTGTAAAATCAAGAAAATATTTTTTTTTAAATGAAATACTCAAGGCTCTCCAACACAGATGATGGCTACATTGACCTTCAGTTTAAGAAAAGCCCTCCTAAGATCCCATATAAAGCCATGGTGCTTGCTACAGTGCTGTGTGTGTGTTTTTTAAAAAATGTTTTTATTGATGTTTTAGAGAGAGAGAGAAACATGGATGAGGGAGAGACATCCATCAGCTACCTCCAGCGTGCCTCCTACTGGGGGTTGAGCCTGCACCTCAGGCATGTGCCCTGACCAGAATCCAGCTGTGACCTTTGGTTGCATGGGATGACGCTTCACCAACACCGGCCAGGGCTACAGTGCTGTCTTTGATTGGCACCTTTCTCATCATCATAGGTTCCCTCCTGCCGGCAGGTTATATCTGCAAAGGGTTTCACCCTCAGCCATGTGGCCCATGTCATTGCTGCAGCTGCTGAGGGAGGTATCTGCCATCAGAAGCCCATCATCCTGGACCACTGTTCTTAGGCCAGCGAGGGGGCCGCCAAACACATCAGGAACCGCATCGTCCAGTTTAACCCAGGACCTGACAAGTACTTCATCCTGGGGCTGCCCCCTGGAGCACCCCATTGATTGTGAATCGAGGACTCTGAGAACGGAGACCTGTCCTTCAAATATGGGAAGACCTTCAACACGGAGGAGTACTTCCTCGAGAGAGTCACCATCCTTCCTGTGGAACAGCTTCCTCCAGCACACTGACACCCACCCAGGAAACACCACATCCTGGGTGGGCATGCAGCTGACCTGCAGGCCGGGAGCGACGCTTCTGAGGACAAGATCGAGGCTGCAGGTGGGACTGAGCTGTTTGTCGGAGGCATCGGCCCCGACACATTGCTTTCACTGAGCCGGGCGCCAGTCTGGCGTCCAGGACCCGTGTGGAGGACACCATACTGGCCAGTGCTAGGTTCTTCGATGGAGATCTCTCCAAGATGCCGCGATGGCCCTGGCATGGGCGCTGTCACGGATGCGAGAGGTGATAATCCTTATCGTAAGGATTACAAGGCTCCCAAGGCTTTTGCTCTGTACAACGCCATCGAGGAGGGCGTGAACCATGCGCCAGTCTGGCGTCCAGGACCCATGTGGAGGACACCATACTGGCCAATGCTAGGTTCTTCGATGGAGATCTCTCCAAGATGTCGCGATGGCCCTGGCATGGGCGCTGTCACGGATGCAAGAGGTGATAAACCTTATCATAAGGATTACAAGGCTCCCAAGGCTATTGCTCTGTACAACGCCATCGAGGAGGGCGTGAACCATATGTGGACCGTGTCTACCTTCCAGGAGCATCCCCACACCATGTTTGTGTGCGATGAGGATGCCACCCTGGAGCTGAAAGTGAAGGCTGTCAAGTGCGGTCAAATCTCAGTTCTCAAAAGCCTCCTACCTCGAACAATTCGGCTCTCAACCAAGTGGCTCATGGGAAAAATGTCTGGGTTGTGGAACAAAACTTTGGTTTTTGAACCTGACAACGCTTTCATGCTGATACCTCAGCAGGACAAAAAGTGTATCTCAGACAACAAACAAAGGAGAGAACGCTTTTGTTGCTGGCAAAAATCGACAATTAGCACAATTTTAAAACATAAAGAGGCCATCAAGGGTGCTAATGTTGCTAAGGGTGTGAAAGTGCTCACAAAGCAACAATCACAGGCAGTTGAATAGGTAGAAAAATTGTTGTTGATTCGGATAAACAAAAAGCAGGAAGCTGGTGATAGCATTTCGGAGGCAGTGATATATGAAAAATTTGTTTAAGGCTAGTAGGGGGTGGATCGATAAATTTAAGAAGTGTTAATTTATAGAGTAAACAGTACATTAGACATGTATTGTATACTAGAGGCCCGGTGCACGAATTCGTGCACAGGTGGGGTCGGGCCGGCCCACCCCAATGGGGGCCCATTAGGCCCGGCCGGTGGGGAGAGGGGCCGTGGGAGGTTGGCTGGCTGGTCCTGCCCCAGATCGGGGGCGGGGGGGCTGATTGGGGCCTGGATCAGGCTGGTTGGCTGCCACAGTGTGCGTCATCGCCATCGGTCATTCTGGTCGTTCTGGTCATTCCGCTGTTCCGGTCACTGGGCTTTTATATATAAAGATAAGAAAAGTTAAAGCAGGGAATCATTTGGGGGTCTGCAACAGATTAATTCAATTTACATTATTTCTAGTGGGAAGAAATAATTCGGTTTTCGAACAAATCGCTTCTCGAACAGCCTTCCCAAATGAATTTAGTTCAAGAACCAAGGTTCCACTGTATTTCAAAGGGAGCAGACCAGCCGCTCCTGTCCTGTTCATTGGCATCCTGGTGTTCCCGCCAGGATTTTACCACCTGCACATCGCCTACTAGGCATCCAAAAGTTACCAGGGTTACTCCCACAATGAGTGACAGTCCAGGCCTTGATGACTAGCACTCACCTCAGCCCTGAGCAGCTGAGTCAGATGGATCTGAGCTCAACTTCAAGATATTGAGCAGAAACTATGGCTAAGGGCTAAGGAATTCTGTGGTTTTCTGTAATTTAACAGAACAATGGCCAGATTTTATTAGTCCATCATCCTAAAGATGTTAACTGAGCTTACAATCAGCTAATTAGGGCATGCTCTGTTTTTCATCTCCTGGCCCTGACAAAAAGCTGACAAGTTCTGCCACATGAGTCCGTACCATGGAAGAAGAGCAATGTTAATTAGAAGTGCTGAGCATTTTAGGATTGAGCATTTCTTTTAAATAGTCTTTATTGTCAATTTGTTCTGGTGACAAATGGAAGAATGCAGTACATCAAATTTCTTATTACTAAGTAATTTACTTTGAAAATATCTAAGTATCTTCTCCCCTATACTCTAAGTCAAGCATGTCAAACTCACGAGCTTGACATGCCGGCTTCATGTGCTAGTTGGCTAGTGGAAGATCTTGGCAAAATCAAATATTAATGTAGATACATCTGTACTATGTTTTACTTGCTTTCTTACTAAGAGCAATCAGGAATTTTTTTAAACCTCAGAGCAAGTTTTCAAAATCTGATCTGGTTCACCAATAGGTTGGGCACCATAAAATTTAGGTAATTCTATCATTTATAGATTAAGATGTTCTGTGTATCATACCTTTAAGGACTAGATTTTTGGCTGTTTTTTAAGGAAAATGTAGATAAGTGGTTATTTATAATTTATGACCACATTGTTAGCACCTTGGACTGATGTCATTCTGCTGAAGATCAAAAGATTTGGCCTGGATCCCTAGGGACTAGACTGTCTTAGTTTGATTCTGTTCCCTAGCTTGCAAAGTGTGATTTATGTTCAAAAGTAAAATGTCAAAATTTTTTTTTTTTTAAATAAGTGAATTTAGCAAGGTCACTAGATAAAAGGTCTGTATAGGAAATCAAATGATCTTCAATATACTACCAATGCATAAATAAGGAAAGGAATTAAAAAGACAACACCATTTCTATACCATAAAAATATCAAATACTTAACCAGAAATAACTTTAACCAAAAAAAGTGCAAGATCACACAATACACAGAAAACTACAAAACATTCTTGAGAGATAATATTAAATATCTACATAATAAAGAGAATATACCATGTTCATGGATTGGGAGATTCAATATTGTAAAGATGTTAATCCTCCCCAAATCAACCTATAGATTCAATGCAATCCCAGCCAAAATTCTAGCAGAAACATGTGTGTGTATATGTGTGTGTACTGACAGGTTGACAAATTTACAAATTTGTCAAAGTTTGTAGTGACAATTGACAAATTCTAAACTTGATATGGAAATGCAAAAGACCAAGAATATCCAAGACACTCTTGAAGAAGACCAAGACTGGAGGATTTCTAGCATGAGGTATTAAGACAGCACAGTATTAGTGCAAAGACAGACCAGTAGAACAAAATAGAGAGCCTCGAAACAGATCCACACAAACATGGCCTCTTGATTTTTGACACAGATTATACTGCTATGCTGCACTAGGAAAAATAATTTTTTTTTCCAATAAATGATGCTGGGTCACTTGGCTATTCATACAAAAAATAGTTATCATTTTTTAAAATATATTTTTATTAATTTCAGAGAGGAAAAAAGCGATAGAAACATCAATGATCAGAGAGAATCATTGATTGCCTGCCTCCTGCACAACCCCCACTGGGGATCAAGCCCATAACTCAAGTGCCCTTGACTGGCATTGAACCTGGGACCCTTCAGTCCGCAGGCCAACACTCTATCCACTGAGCCAAACCAGCTAGGACCAGAAAATAGTTATCTTGACCCCTACTTCATACCATACCAGAAATAAATTTCAGACAAATTTAGATCTAAATATAAATGATAAACAACTAGAAGAAAACAGAATATCTTCATGGCTTTGAGGTAAGCAAAGTTTTCTTAAACAGACACAAAAAGTACTAACCATAAAGAAAACACACACATGATGAATTATTCTCCATTAAAATTAAGAACTTCTGTCCCTGGCCAGGTAGTTGAGTTGGTGAGAGCATGGTCCCGATACATCAAGGTTGTGGGTTTAATCCCTGGTCAGGGCACATACAGAAGTCAACCAATGAATGCATGGGTAAGTGGAACAACAAATCAATGTTTCTCTCTCTAAACAACAACAACAACAAAAAACTAAGAACTTCTGCTTTTCAAAAGTCACCATTAAGAAAGTAAAAGGCAAGATACAACGTTGGTAAAGATATTTGCAACGCAAAGGGCTTGTGTCTGGAATATATAAAGAACTTTCTAGATCAATAGGATGGACAAGATGGACAACCCAACAGAAAACAGGGGAAGGACTTGAACAGGCACCTCACAAAGAAGGCTTTCCAAATGACCTGCAAACATATGGCCAGGTGTGTGATGTCACCAGTCACCAAGGAAATGCAAAACCTGTAATGAGCTAAAATGAAAAAGACTGGCACTGCTAACCATTGGCAGGGATGTGAAGCGTGGAGCACTCTTGTACCCAGCTGGTGGGAATGTAAGTTGGCACAACTTACTTTGGAAAACATCAACTAAAGCTGAACATATCCGATCCCCATGCCCCAGCAATCCCATGTCTGGGCGTGTGTCCAACAGGAAAGCAGACAGTATGCTCCTAAGACACACACAAGCATGCTCACCACAGCACTATTGTCAGCAGCCCCAAACTGAAAAAAACAGATGTCCATCAGCAGCAGAAGAGCTAAATAAAGGGCGGTCCATTCATATGTTGGTATGCTCTACAGCAACGGGAAGGCGCAGACAGCAGCTACAAGAAACAACACAGATGAACCTCACAAGCTGAACGTTGAACATACGAAAGAGAATCTCATGCCCAGCTGGCATAGCTCAGCGGCTGAGTGTCGACCTATGAACCAGGAGGTCACGGTTCAATTCCTAGTCAGGGCACATGCCCGGGTTGTGGACTCAATACCCAGTGTGGGGCATGCAGGAGGCAGTCAATCAATGTTTCTCTCTCATCATAATGTTTCTATCTCTCTCCCTCTCCCTTCTTCTCTGAAATCAATAAAAATATTTTTTTAAAAGAGAATCTCGCAAGCTTAACGTTGAACAAACAAATGAACACATATTGTATGGTTCTGTTGATAGAAAGCTCAAAAGCAGGCAAAACTACTCTATGGTGGTAGAAGTCAAGATGGTAGTTCCTTTTTGGGAAAATAGAGATTGGGAGGAGGCACAAGGAGGTGAGGGGGACTGGAAATACTGTCTTTTTCTATCTGGGTCTGGTTACACAAATGTGTTCCTTTTGTGAAAACCCACCCACTTTTCTGTCTGTAGGTGGCACTTCAACAAACCATTCACGTTAAACAAAATAACATGGTGGGCCAGACAGACTCATTCACTTGCCCAGAGTCTCACAGCTCTTAAGCAGGCGGTTAAAAGGCCCAGGTTCTTATTCCTGCTTTGTTCCTCACTCTGGAAGGCCCTTGGGGAGTCATTGTCTCGTTGGGGACTCCGTGTTCCATCTAAGTGGAGCGGGAAGAAAAGACTCCCATTCACTGTGGTGAGAGGGAGAGTGCTCTGCCTGGGAACACACTTTGCTGGTTCTCTCTGGACATGAAATGAAGAGAAGTGTGGCTCGGCTAGTAGCCCATAGCCCGGGAGCACTCTGGGTTTCAGGAGAGAGTTCTTGAAGGAAGATGTGAAACGGGGGCGGGGTGTGGAGAAGAGACACAAAGAAAGAGAGGGGTGGTCTGAGAAGCAACTAGATGGCAAGGTGGCAGGCAACCAGGGTGAGATAAAAACCTGGCTGAAAGAGCACAGGCCACTGTGTGCTTGAAGATCAGTGGTATCTCATATCCAGGAGGCCTCCTCCCTCCTCCATCACCCCCATCTCTCAGGAATGCTCCTCCAGGCTTGCTGCATTGAGTGGATGGTGTTTAGGGAGGAATTGAAGGAAGGGGGGCTGCATTCCACACCTGGGCTGACCCAGCGCAGGGCCAACAGCCTGCAGGTGAGAGGCAGAGACTAGGAGACTTCAGCAAAAGCTGGAATCCGAGGGAGAGGGGAGCACCCAGGACCCTCAGGGCAGCGGGGGGTGGTGCGGGAGAGGGGTTGGGGGGGGGGAATTAAGCTTAAAACCCAGGGAAGGTTTGAATGCAAGAGGGGAAGGGGGAGCCTGGAATTTGGAGAATTCAAGATCCTGGGTGACCGACCCTTAGGTTTCATGTAAAGTGAGCGGGAGATGAGACACGGAGTAGGGCCACCCCTCTCAGTGAACTCCCCGGAGCCCCTTCTTGGGCTGGGGCGGGGCTGCAGAACCCCAGCCCCTCTCAGCCAGACACCGGACATGTGGCCAAAGGCCAAGGCCGCTGGAGAAGGCCGAGGACACTCACCTCACTCACAATCAAAGGCTGGAAGGAGAGACACTTTCTCAAGCCGCACTCCAGGCCTCTCCTCGGGTGGAAAGACTCTGATCCCCAAAGAGACAAGGAGTTAAATGCAGGCTGCCGGCCCCGGGGAGAGAGCTGGCCCTGAGGAGCGGGAGCTTGGAGGAGCGAGACTGAAGGCCAGGGGTCTTCAGCTCCCCGGGGCCACTGGGGGAGAGGGACATTTACCTGCAATGTCGCATTTTCCCTCACAAATTGGAACCCCCAACCTCTGCTGCCGTTGCTGCTTCCCATGGGCCCAGGGCATATGCTGGGGGCACACTCTGTGGGATCTCACCTCTCAGGGAGTTGTCCACAGCAGGACCCCAGTCCATCAGCAGGAACACCGCGAGAGGCAGGGGTTCAGTCTCTCCGTTGCACAGATGAGGCTCCATCACACACCCAGGTGCCCAGCTGGGAAGCAGGTGGAGGAGGTGGGGCTGCAGAGCAGGGGCAGTGCTCTGGGGGAGCTGGCAGGAGGGCAAGG